TGTTGTCAGGAGTTGGGGGCCAGGAAAAGGAAGTAGGGTAGGACCACAGGAGAGATTTCAGAATAAAAAGCCCCCTTTCTATAGCTAGGACAAGCCAGTAAGCAGGAAAGACTGCCTGGGTAGGGTTACTTGGGACACTATGGCTGACTCCTGGCCCTCTTTTGGGGATGTCTTCACTTTTGGTAGAAAAAGAAGGAACACTGATGGACCATGGTCTCTGTAGAAAAGGACTGAGGCTGAGGTGGCTGCAGAGGCCATGGCCTTGTTGGTTAACTGAGCTTTACCTGTTTTCTGGACAACCTCCCCCATCCCCATCCCATTCCTTGCCCTAAGGGTGGCTCCAGTTGAGATACCATCAGCCATCTGGGATGTAATACCTTCCCGTTTACTCATATGAACTTCTGCCTCAAACTGGTATATTCACTGCTCCCCAGATGTGTTTCATCCCCACCTCTTGACTTCTGCTGGCACCGGCACCCTGCCTGAATGCTCTGCTCACTCCTTGCTCCTATGACGTGCCTTTTTCAGGGCCCAGATCCAAGCCTGCCTCCTCAGTGGCGTCTTCCCCAAGGGTCCCAGTCTTCTTGGGTCACTTTCTATTTTAGACTCCGGGGACATTTGTTGTCTGGTTGGGAGCTGATTACGGCATTTGCCATAGTTTCAAGCAGGACTTTGTTTATTGCCTTTTCAGGCAAGAATTCCCCATACAGAGGACAGGGCAGGCAGGGTAACTTGCCAGACCATGTAAGGGTCTGGATGGGAAGTAGTTTGGAACCAGCCTGGGAACACATGCCATGTGACACTGTAATTCTTGTGCTCATAAAACATCCTCAGAGGATAAGCATGTAAGCGAGTGTTTATTTCTTTGAGGGCCCCCATGAGACAGAAATCTTCCAACTACAGACTGTCAGGCACCGGGGACCCCAAGAACAAGAGCTGGAGGGAGGGAAGGAGGTGAGGGGCGAGAGCCGTCAATGAAACAGGCGGTCCTGAGGCAATGGAGCTGGCAGGGAGGACCAGCCAAAGTGAACTAAAATGTCAGCTGGGGCTGTGGCCCTCGGAGCAGATGCTGTGTGGCCTTGGCACAATGGCAGCTTGCCTGTGTCATGCACACCCCTGACTTCAGACCATCACTAAACTTTCAGTCCTAAGCTCATGGGGCTAATCTACCCATTTTCCTCCCCTCTCTCCCTGTCCACGTCCTGCCCCCGGGGATCTGCCTATGCTGTTTCCACTGACAGTGTCAAGGAGGAGGCCAGGCCGTCTCCCAACCAGCTTCTGGAGAGGAGACAATGTGTGAAAGCGGGGCTGTGAGGTCACAAAAAATGGGAAAAGGAAGAAGAGGGTAACAGCTACCGAGGGAGAAAACTTTAATCCTGCACACAGGCTTTTCATAAGAATTTTATTTCTCAAAAAGAGGGGAAGAATCCAAAGTATTAAAATAATCCTCTAATTTTGTTTTGGAGGGAAGGAACAGGATGACGAAATAATTCATATAAAAATTTCAAGCACAATTACTGTAGATACTTCATCCTGAAACTTGTACCTCCTGTCTGCAGTTCCAGGCTCCAACTGCATCGCGGGTAATGCTCAATCTCCCGGATGTGGAAAGGCTGCAAGCGTCTGGAATGCTTATTTATATTTACTCCACAAATAAATACAAAAGATTGATCTTCCCAGTGGAAATGATTCAGTCCATTTTTGTTTCTGACGAGAATGTTAAAGAGCTTCCCCTCTCCTAAATTCCAAATTTTTCCTTTTCAAAGATGACGAGTGTGAAAGAAATGAAATGTGAAAAGACTGCTTAGGTATGGCTGGCTCTAGTACCAACCTTATGCCAAGGGAGACTTTACCTCATTGAGGTAATAAAAAGGTAAGAAGCGGCCATGATTCTTCCATTGCCTCTTTTGTAGGG